TGGTGGTACCAGGGTTTGAACTGGGGGGCATTCGACCACTGAGCCACATCGCCGGCCCTATTTTGTATTTTATTCAGAAACAGGGTCTCACTGAGTTGCTTAGCACCTCACTTTTGCTGAGGCTGGCTTTGAACTTGCAGTCCTCCTGTCTCAGCCTCCCAAGCTGCTGGGGATTACAAGTATGAGCCACTGCGCCCAGCTCATTTTTAATTTTGAGACATGGTCTTGTTAAGTTTCTGGGGCTGTCCTTAAACTGACACACTCCTATTTCAGCCTTCCAAATTGCTAGGATCATGTATGCCACCACATCTGGCTTCTAGGCCACTTCTTGAAATGTAAGGCAGTTCCAACATCCTCTAAGAGCTTTGAGAAGCTTTGGAAAAAGGTAATGGTGTGTATGGACCATTCTAAGCTCTTAGAATATTTTAGAATCCAGACTGGTTTCTCCCCTGCTTAAAATTCTTCTTTACCTCTCCATGTTTTTAAGATTGAGTCTAAATATATTAACGTAAAATTTTACATTAGCTCTTGATATTTCTCCTTTATACCTGTGGACCTTGGAGATCTCAATAGCCATTGTTTGTGTGGTGGGTTTTCAGTACCTATCATCAAATAGAACTCATAGTTATTTGACAGATCGCTCCATCAGCAAATGATGTCTGCTCTCCTCCAAAAGATACCTGCCTTTGCAACCATTCACCTACCTGTGGTCTCGTTTTTACTGTTGCCCTCATACAATAAGATTTTCACCCAGCAACCAAGTAGGTCAAAGAACTCTTTCTTTTTTCTTTTATGGTACTAGCAGTAATGTCAGAGGCAATAACCTGCTGTCAGGCAGCATCAGCCATCTCAAAGTCTGTGGGCTGCTTCATCAAGTTTCTTCGGTTGCCACACTACAGATGAAGATGGGGAAACAGGGTAAAGAGGAAATGCTACCGCTTTCAAGTCAGGGAATCCGCAGTAAAGGGTTAGGCCAAAGCATGCCCCAAGGAGACAGGCGAGGGCCAAGAGCTTTACACAATTGCAGTGGTTTTCAAATATATCAAGATCTGTACAAGTTTTGTTTTTGTTTTTGTTTAATATTTGTGTTTTGTATATGTAAAACTTATGCTTTCTTGTGAATGTCCACGCTGGGTGCCATGGCACATGCCTGTAATCCCAGCGACTTCAGAGGCTGAAGCAGGAGGATCCCAAGTTTGAGGCCAGCCTCAGCAGCTTAAGGAGAACCCTGTCTCAGTATAAAAAGTAACAAGGGATGTGGATGTAGTTCAGGGTTAGAACACCCCTGGGTTTAATCTCCAGTACCCAAAAAAAAAAGGAGTGAGGGAGGCAGGCAGGCAGGGAAGAGCTGTATGCATATCCTAGTCTCATGGTGCCGTATCTTTATTTACCTTCAGAGGCAAAATTAAAAACTTACCTACATACAGTTGTGAACTGGTTTTACATATGTTTTCTGAATTATGTAGAAAAATATTTGTAGTTTTAATATTAAAAGCATTTCTTTTTTTTTTTTTAATCTTAGTTGGGAAACTTTTTTTTTAACTTTATTTTATTATTTATTTTTATGTGGTGCTGAGGATCAAACCCAGGGCCTTGCACGTGCCAGACAAGCGCTCTACCACTGAGCCATAACCCCAGCCCCTTAAAAGCACTTCTTTATGTGATTGTCTTGTCCATTTTTTTCCAGACCGGTCGGAGGGTGACAGATCAGAAGGCTCTGGTCAGGAGAATGAAAATGAAGATGAGGAGTAACCACCTCTATTTGGCAAGCACTTGGATGTTCTGGAATTTGTATAAGACATTCATTATATTTTTTTCTTTACAGAACTTTAGTGCAATTTTAAGGTTATGGTTTTTGGAGTTTTCCCCTTTGGGGGGATGACCTAACATTAGTTTGGAGTGAGTGTGTGCATGAATTTGGGAGAGTGCGTAAAACAAAACACAAAATGTTTTTACAGCTTTCTGCCGTGTGTGAGGAGTGCTGGAAGACAAGGTGCAATACGCTCCCTGATCTGCAGGGGGCTCAGGACAGTGCGGAGGGTCCTTTTCATTGTAGGGAGAATGCGGGTCAAATAAATTTCTACACTTGCCGTTTGCATGTTTGTCGCTTTGTAATTAAAGAAGTTGGTTGTTTTAAGACATCCTAAAATGGAGTTTTTATTGAATGCCTTGCTGTTACCTGCCTTTTCTAATCTTTCTGTAATGAAAAAGGACTTTCTCTATTCTTTTTAAATTTAATAACATTTTCCTTTTTTACTTCAGTGGGTTGATAAAATCACACTAAAGGCTTTTCACTTCTCTTTTCAAAGCCCTTGGTCTTTGCCTGTGGGTCGTCCTCCCATGATCAGTGGTGCCTGGTGCACTCAGTCACTGAAGCAGCATGGGTACAAGCTGCTTCTGAAGGTGCTGGTTTCTGGTTTTTTACCTCTGTTTCCAAATTCCAGATTTCACTGTAAGCTGTTGACCATCCAGAGTTTTTGTTTTGTTTTGTTTTGAGGGGAAGGATGGTACTGGGGGTAAAAGCCAGGAGAACTTTATCACTAAGCTATATCCCCAGAACTTTTTATTTTTTTATTTTAAGATAGGGTTTTGCTAAGCCTGCCTCAGACTTGCAGTGTTCCTGCCTCAGTCTCCAAGTCATTGGGATTACAGGTGTGCGCCACTGCACCCAGTGTCCCCTTCCCCTCTAGCAGGACCGACATAGTTTACACCTAGGCCTTTGTACCTTAGAGGTTATGCCCCAAAACTGTTGCTGTAGGCTTAACCCTGCAGGCATCCTCCCTCCCCATTTCTAAATTTATTCTATTGGTCTTTCCCTCAGTCTAATTGTATGCTCACATCTCCTCAATCCTTTTACAAAATAAGGAAAATCGTTTCTTAATACCAAACTATTCTCTCTTTATATACTTTCTAATTTCTCTACTCTGGTTATTATCTAAATGAGCACAGCATATATATCTATGACTTTTTTGTGCTGCTTTCCTGATGTCTAAAGCCTCTCAGAAGCTGGACTTGCTAGGTGGGGAGAGGGGCGTCAATCTGTTGTGTCCTTGGGGGCAGAAAATCAAGTACGGTAGAGTGGTTTGTCCACTATTCACTGGTTCAACAGGATAATTTCAAAACCAGTATCTCTGTCTGTCTCTCTCTCTCTCTCTCTCTCTCTCACACACACACACACACACACATACACACAAACACACAGCATTGCTGTTACAGATTTCTGGGATAACATGTTGATTCTTCTTTTCTAAGAAGATGATAACTTGAAACTACAGCCTGAGCTCTTGGAACTATCTCCCTGTAGAGGAGAGCAGCAAACCCACAGCCTCTCTGTGACGATTCCCACTAGCAGCTGTTCCTTACCAGCCAACAGTTGGAGAAGAAATAAAATTACACGCTTGGATTACTGTTGCTCACCTGGAACTAGCCACCCAGTGCTGCCAAAATTATAGCCGTGACATGGGAAAGAAATGTGGAGTTGTCAGGGTCAGAGCTGTAGATTCATGGACCTCATCCATCACTGCCAGCACCAGCCTTGACCTCTTGCTCTTGACTCTACTCTGGAGGTGGAAACCAGACCCTCGATGGCTGCATACATCTCGGGGCTGGGGATGTGGCTCAAGCAGTAGTGCGCTCGCCTGGCATGTGTGCGGCCCGGGTTTGATCCTCAGCACCACATACAAACAAAGATATTGTGTCCACTGAAAACTGAAAAATAAATATTAAAAAATTCTCTCTCTCTCTCTCTCTCTCTCTCTCTGGCGCGCGCATGTGCTCTCTCTTAAAAAAAAAAGTAATACTTCCGTTTAATTAGCGGTAGTTTAAATATACCTTTTATTTTCAGAAATCTAAATATCCTGGGAAAAAAGGGACCAAGACATAACCTGTCTTCAGCTGGGCCATGAACAGCTTCACTATGTGGCCAAGGAGAGCCTCTCTCCTGCATGGAGCATCAGAGACCTCTCCTCCCCCTAAGTGGCACAAGCTGAGAGCCGCCACCTGCCAAAAGGAGATGGTTAGCTTTGTGAAGCAAGGGAAATGGCTTCACCATCTGGCACTTAGTGGACAAAGCCACAGAGGTGTGTCTGTGTTGTTCAGCATGGCGAAGGGTCAGAGCCTTAGCAAACAGGTTAATGACGCCACGATTCCTGGAGGGTGCCATGGTTTTGGTTTCTGGTTCTCAGCTACTTCTGTGCCCTGTTTTCTTTGGGTTTTTGGTTCCTCTTCTCTGAAGCAGGGGTGATTATACACCCTCCATCCCATGTCACAGGGGATGTTTTAGGAACACAGCACACAGAAGATGTCACTTCTTTCACTGATAAAGCAGTAACATGGATATGCTGTAGAGGGTGTAGGGAAATCAAGAGGACAGAGGCTACTGGAGGACTCAGGAGGGTCGGGGAGCAGGAAAAGTAACAGAAGAAGGTCAAGTGGCTTTTCTCCACCTGCACAGGCGCTGATGGGGAGGCTGTGGCTGGGGGAGGGCAGGAGGTACAGGGCTGCTTTGCACAGTTCTCCTGTGAACCTGAAACTGCTCTGAAAAATTTTTTTTAACTTGTCAGAGGAATTAGGACCTCTGTCCATAGGGAAACGACAGACGCTCGGTGACTCAGGATCGGGGCAAGACATGTAGGGAGGCAGCAGTGAGAGGAAGCGTTCCATAGAGGCAAAGGGAGCAGGTGCCAGCCACATCAAGATTCAGGGCCCAGGGAGCAAGGCTGGGCCCCAAGGAGCGAGGCTGGACCCTGGGGCTCCCTCAGGAAACAGAAGGTGGCTTCAGTGGTGACAGGTAGGGTCAGGCAAAAGTGGTGGGTTTTGTTGCTACATCTCAATGATATGATCTGCCTCTCACCCTCTTTGACTTTGCTTATGGGACAGAGAATACATATCTTGATTGATGGATAAATGATAAACCACTGATGTTCATTAAATCTCCTTTTAAAACTTTGGGCTTAAGAGTGTTTTTTGTGGCATGCTGAGAATTATTCATTTAATGATATTCCATGAATGTAATTGCCATGGGGAGTTATGAAAATGCATGAATGGATATACCTGTTGAGTCTGCCCCGAGTCCTCTCCCTCGGGGGAGGCTAGAGATAGGAACAGGACTGCAAAAACAGGGAGGGGAGAGGCACCCAGAATCATCCACAGGCCCAAGTCCCAGTACAGAGTCACAATTTCTGCCACTATACATGTACCAGAAACACATTTAATCAGACAAACCTATTCTAAATAACACTTATTTATAAATATTGATTATAATCCTAAACATTTTTCTTCAAAAAAAATCCCAAAAATTCAAGTTAAATATATTTCAGGATTGGGGTTTTTGTTTGTAGTGCAGTTTTTAACACCCAGTGCATTCAGGTGTCCATTGTCAGAACACAGTGCAGGACTGTCCCTTGGGCATGTGCACGACACTGATGGACAGGCACAGCCTGCGCTGCGCTCGGTGGGTCTTGACTGCCAGGAGTTGGGGTGATTGGCATTGGTTCATGGCATCTCAGAATGGTGGTGTGGAGGAAAGGAGGAGTGTACCCATTCCTAAGCTATTGATACTGCTCAGGAAATGCCTCTGAGGGAAATGAACACAGCTATGTGGATTATATCCTTATAAAAGGAACACTGGCCAAAACTGTGTTCCTGGTAATCTTGTGCAGATTTGGGTTTGTGCTTTGAATTCTTCTCAACAAATTTAATTGCTTTCCTTGTGTCTTCAGTTTTTGAGGTCAGGCTGCAGATATTAACACCTCCCATGCCCTTTGGTTGATGGTAGTTCTTTCTGCCTACCTTATGAAGCCTCTGGCCTGTTCTGATAACAGTGACTGTTTTTTGTTTTGGTACCAGGGATTGAACCCAGGGGTGCTTAACCACTGAGCAACATCCCCAGTCCTTTTGAAAGGGTGGCCCTCCTCCCTCAGCCTCCCTAGCCACTGGGATTGCAGGCGGCTATCACTGCACCCATCCTCTGGGCTACAAAGAGAAAACTCCCTCTCTTTGTGGAGAAGACCTGGAGTTTGGCCCTGCTTCTGGCTTAACTCTTGTGAGACCTCAGGCAGTTTTCTTGGGCCTTCCTGGATTGTTTGTCTTCTCTCTGACCATAAGGATGGCGCTGGTCTGCCCTTCCCATCCTCATTTATGGCTAGTCATGGCCATTTTTCCAAGCATCAGGCTGAGACTGACTTCCTCTCTCTTCCCTGTGGGTTCTGTGTTCACTGCAGGTAGTGCATGGACGAACGCCTGTCTCTGCCTCCTCCCTCAGAGGCCTGGAGCTCTGGGTGCTGTGACCAAAGAGCCACAATCCATCAAGCACTGTCACTGCTGGGGAGAGCTGTCCTCACCTCCTGAGGAGCACTTCCCAGAGAGGATGTCCCTGCTCTGTATGAATTAAGATCATGATTTGGCACTCATCCTCTCTCATGATCATTCAGGGCGATACAGAAGCATGTTGTCTTTGCAAAGAGCCATTCGCATGGGGGAAGGGCGTTTCTAGTAGAGGCTCCTGCTCCCTCAGACTCCTTGGCTCCTGGTGCTACTCAGCGCTCCCTCCCTACCTCCCTGTTGCCGTCCCCTTCCTCACAGTCCTTTTGTGCTGTTCAGCAAATGACAGCTGTCAGCACCTCCATTCTAGGATAAAGTTATCTTTTCAACAACTTCTCACTTTTTTGCCACGGAGACCCCTGTAAAAGGAACAATCCAACCTGCTCGGGGCAGCTCCTGAGGAGAAAAGCCACTGGCCCTGCTCTCTGGCAGCCTAGGCCCTCCCTGGGTGCTTTGCCCACATTCCTGTCATCCCTGTGAGGGACTCCTCCCTAAACTCTTGTGTCTCACACAGAAACAGATTCCAGAACTTTGCACATGAAACCAAGCAGCTTGCCCAGAAGACCCAGCCACGAGGCGGCAGCCTGAGCACACCACAGAACCCCAGCATCCAGCTTCTCAGGCAGGCTGTCATAGCGCACAGCCCTCAGTCCCTCCCTCGTCAGTGCACTGTTGCTCCCTCTCCTGTTCTGGCCCTGGCTGCCTTGGCCTTTTGCAAATATTGAATTAGTGTCAATGGTGGTTTGATTCTTTGCAGAAAGACCCCAAGCAGCTCTGCAAATGAGAATCAAGGAACCTGAGCATTAGGTGGTCCTGTCTTGACTCTCCACCCACTGCTCCAGGAGCTGTGATTAGCTTAGGGTCACACAGCTGAGCAGAGGTGGTAACTAAATGAATGGGAACAGTGGGCGGGGAGGATCAAAGGAGGGTGGCCCTCAGCCACAGTCCCCTCCTTCTCAGCCATGCTGCTGCCACCTAGCGTCTCAGGACCCGAGCTCTTCTTCGTGTGGCCAGGGAAAGGGCCAGGTGCTGAGCTGGGTTCCTCCGCGTGGGACCCTGTGCCTCCTGGGCCACAGCAGCCCCCACCGCTGGCATCCAGAGCAGCACAGGGCGGAGCCAGGTGTAAATCTCAGTGAAACAAGCAAAGACTTGCAAAAGCCCCACAAGTTTTCCCCTTTCAACAAAGCCAGAAGATGTGGGTCTGGATTTTTATTTTTGTTGTGTTATGTTTTTTCGTGGTCCTGAGGATTGAACCCAGGACTCTCATGCATTGTAGACAAGCACTCTACCCTTGAGCTACACCCCTGCCAGGACTGAGGTTTTTAAATAAAAGTGGCCAGATGTCCCACCTGCACTGTCCGTGGGTTCACCACGTATGAGTGTGGGTTTAGCTGGGGGTTCTGAGCTGCAAAAGCAGTGTTCTCCAAAATGCTTGGGGACTGTAGAATGTTCTTGCCCCCTGGTGCCCGCACACACATCCCTCTAGGTCAACCGAGCAAATCTGAATTTCTGAATACTGCAGAATATGGTTCTAGTTACCAGACATCCTTCAAGACAGCTGCACTGTCACCAATTTGGGGGGTCTCCATAACTCCTGGTTGGAAATACCCACCTCTGTTTCTAGAATCAGTACTTGACTTGTATTAGAATCACATCTCCCAGGTATTTCTCCCAAAATTAGGGAGAAGATACTCTAGTGTTCTTGCCCCTAGCACCTAGCTTGGTGCTTCACAAACAGCAGGTGTGCAGTGTCCAGTAGAAGAGTAAAATGAATGGACCTCGCTCAGTAAGGAAGGCGAATCCTTTTGTGAGATGCAGTTATTCTAGGATAATTCAGACTAAATCCTACTGTATCCCGGCTGGTCTGTGGTCAGCAATGGGGGCTTGGAGTCTGCATTCTTTCCCTAGAGCAGCATAATCAGGGGAGCTTTCTTCAGCCCTTGGGTCCCAAGCCAGTTTACTGCACTCAAAAATCCCTAAACAGGAACTCATTCCAGAGGTAAGGTTCTGCCCTGTTCTGTCTCTGTGCATACTAATCAGGAATATGGTCCCTTCTGAAACAGGACAGGATACACACAGATATACATAGAAAACGGACACCACCTGGCAGCGGGAGCGTGGGCTGCCTGTGGGCCAGCAGTGGAAGCCTGTGCACCTGCCTTGTTGAGGTCAGGCACTATGAGGTGGCTGCCCTAGGCCTCATAGAAGGTCTTCTGTGAGCTGCAGGGCAGGGACCAGCCAGCTACTGGTATCTGCCACACGGCAAAGGCTGCCTCTCCAGAGGATGGTGAGACTCCCAAGGGGCACACTTCGGAAGTCATCCACAGCAAGTTCTGGAAGTACCCCTGCTGACCAGGGCAAGGGAGAGTCCTGAACTTGGCTTAGGTGATCACCAGGCTGAAGGGCAGCACAGGAGGGGGTTCACCACAGCAACTACAAGCCCACACTCCAAGGGCTGTTGCAAATCAACAGGAAGAGAGGAACCTGGCCATAGAAACACCTCACCACTGTGCCTCCACCTCTGGGGCCACACCCTCCTCCTCCCTCACTCTTGGTGCTGGGCACTCCATCAGGGCTGTGCTCCAAACAGCAAGCCACACAGGCCATGGCCAGGGCGGACTGGCAGTGCTTCACACCCATCAGGAGCTACACCCAGGTGTTCCAGTTCTGGTCTTGTGCTCCACTTCCGAAGGTTTTTTCCCTGTATCTAATTTATCAATTCAGCGATATCATAGAAGAGCAGAAGCTAGAAATGATCTCGGAGACCACAGGTCAACTCCCCACTCCCCTTTCCCATTTTACAAAGGATGTCGAGAGGCGACAGGGTGTCCCATGATGTGGGGACCGAGGCAGAGCCGGGCCCAGGACTCGAATTGCTTAGTCCAGGTCCAGTGCCTTCTATCCTGTGCTGCCCCCGGGCCACAGTAACAGGAACTTGCTCCCAGGAGTAGCAGTGTGGCCCCGAGGCCAGCCCTTCTCACAGGGCACTTAGGACCAGCAGAAACTGCCCTCCTACTAACAGTGTCTGCTTCTTGACTTGGCTTGGTGCCACAACCCTAGTCAGTCTTGGTGATGCACTGACCTGTCCTCACCAGATGTGTTTGTTGTTAAATTCTGGAAGTGGAACACTTGGCACCTGCCTTTTCTGTCTTATTTATAGTGGTTTCTCCCTTCTTTTGAAATACCAAAGAATCTGCCAGTGGGGAGGTGGAGGGTGTCCTGGCAGCCTGTGGGCCAGGTCCTAACCAGATCCCTGCTCCTGGATGCTCCCCGTGGACTATTGGGTACCTGTGGCTGCCCCGTGCTGCCTGCCTGGAGCCCACAGCGCCCAGGGCAAGCTGCAGGTGAGGGAGTGCCTTGCTGCGCTCAGCCACACTAGGCCGCTTCTGCCCAAGGCGTCGGGGACAGTGTGCGGCTGGACTCCTGGTACAGGTTGTGGAGAAGAGAAAAGGGTCCGTGCAGTGGTCTCCTCCAAGTCCCTGCTCCTCCTGCGGGCCACACCTCCATCTGCCCTGGGTGCTTCAGATGCCTCTGGTTCTGTCACTGGGACCTAGAAGCAGCCGACACGCATCTCACAGCAGATACTGAAGTCACAGACCGGTGCCATCGTTTTCAGTCCCTCCGCAGCTGCACACCAGGTGCTTCCTTCCCTGAGCGTGATGACATGTCCCAGGCCCTGGCACAGATGGCGGGGGACTCCGTGAAGGCCAGCACCCCTGGCTCCATCCAGCCCAGCCCTTCCTGGGGCCCTCATCTCTCTTCTGCAGCTAAAATGTTCCCCTCTTCAATGCTCTGCAGCTGCAGCCGCTGACTCGCAAGAGCCCTGCTGCCTCGGCGACCCCCGGGACCAGCCCCTGGGACAGTTCGTGCTGAAAATAAGACACCCGGCAAAGCCTCCTCCCCAAATAAGTTGATTTTGGCCTCAGCCTCAATGGCTCTAGCCAAGCTGGCTGCATAGCTGTCCAAGGACTTGTGTACTTCGGCTTTCACATGGAGGACAGAGTTCCGGGCAGCTTCTGGGGAGAGGGCAGAGAGAAGTTAGCAGAGGGCCAGGACCAATGGCTGCGCTGCAGAGGCGGCCGCAGCTGCCCTGCCCTGGGAGGGGAGGCACACTGCGGTGGCAGACGCCAGACTCCCCAGCTACAATCCTGGACTCCCAACTTGCTACCCAGAAACTCTCGGAAGTTACTGAGTCTGGCCTTGGTTCCTCATCTGCACAGAGGAGGGCGCTTACTTCCTAGGGTCTCTGCAGTACAAGTGAGTTCCTTTCAAGGTGCTCAGCCATCTGGGAAGAGTTCTCTCTTCCGGATCCCCAGCTTCGGGTACCATCCGTGGCTGCAACCACCACAGACCCAGATGCCAGCTCTCTCCTCTCCACATTGCTAGAGCTTCCTAAGTCATGGGACCTCAGGGTGGAGAGATGTTAAGGAACCCTACCAGGATTGGGACCGCTGGCGACCGACACGAAGAGGACAGGGAGGCCGCTCCTCACGTCACACCCTGGCCCTACATCACAGACGCACTGCCTTTCTCATTTCCTAAGGAGCAGCAACCTACTCACCCCCTGCCTTTTGGGTCAGCACTGGGTCACGCTCAGGGGCTCCACCACTGAGCCACATCCACTAATCTTTCTTTTGAGACAAGGTCTCAAGTGCTCATTGAGTTGCTGAGCTGGCCTTGAACTTCCCATTCTCCTGCCTCAGCCTAAGTCAGCCTCCTGAGTGGCGGGGACTCCAGGCGTGGGCCATATGCCCAGCTTACATGCCACTCTCCAGGAGGGCAGACAGGAGAGGACTGGCCTCCCTGCTCTGCCCCTCACGGGGCAGGGGTGGCACCCTGCCAGTGCCTTCTCTTTCAGGCCTACAAAAAGGTGCTTTCAGGGCTGCCCTCCCAGGACGCAGGTGTGAAGGGACAGGTGGCCCTGTGTGGGATAGTCATTTCTGTAAAAATAATAATTATGAAGCCTGGGGGGCTGCTGGTCCACGCTCCATTCTCGACTCTGTCTGTGAAGTGGATGACTCGGTCTCTTCCCCCTGCCCTGCATCACCACCTCTGTGTTCACTCTGAATTCAGGCAGGACATTAATTATGTAGAGAGAAAGTAGAAGAAATGAATGATGGCTACAGACTCTGCTGGGCCTGTCCTCATGTTTGCATTCACCATTCTGGAGACTTAAAACCCTGGCCCTCCACCACATCCACCTCCCAGCCACGCGGCTGCTGCCTGCCCTTGGGTTCAGGGAACAGAGTCTGAAATCTGTGGGCAGCTGGGTGGCTCTGTTGTGGTCCCTGGACTCGGCAGGCTGTACCCCGAGGCCCAGAGCAGCAGGGGCAGGGTGTTCAGAACAGGTGGAGCGGGAGATGGAGGGAGGGGCTGCAGCGCCCACCTCAGCTTAGGGGCAGCTGTGGCTTCTACTCGCTGGCCAACTGGAAGGAGCTGCGGCTCAGAGGCCAGGTCCACGTTCCTAATCGCACATCGCCCACGAGGAAGGAGAGGGAACCAGGACCTGGGCGGTGTGCGGGCAGCTGGGCAGCTGCTTTCCCCGGCTTAGATGCCGCTTGCTCTGAGCTAGGAGCCTCCGGACTCCAGTGAGACCAGCAGGGCTGGGAGTCGGGGGGGGGGGGGGGGTGTCGGGGGCGGGCAGGGCTCGGCCAAGCCGTCTCCCTCAGATCCTCCTTTCCCCCGCTGTTTTCTTGAAGCAATCCGTCACAGAGACCCACCTTTGATTTGCTCCACTTCATCCTCAAATGTCACCGAGCTCCTCCTCTTGGGCGGGCAGGTGCAGTGGGCGGGCGGGGTGTCCTCAGACGCACAGTCTTCCAGCAGCATCACGTCTGTCCCTGAGGCGGAGGGTGGACTGTGCAGTCTGATAGCAACGCCAGGTCCCCTCCCTCCCAACACCCCTCGGCCCTCTCCCTTCCTTCAAACCCTGGTCAGGGGCAGCTAACTGCCCTGCAGCACCTCCCCGAACCGCCCCAGCCGTCACTACACTCTGGGGTCCGCACACAGCAGGGAGCGGCCTCCATACACAGAAGCCGCCCGGTATCCCCCCTGGGCAGTGGGCTATGAGCCACCCGCACGGGTGCTGCCAGACTAGGAGGGGCAGGCGGGCAGGGCTGGGGGAGAGGGTCTTCTGGGTGACCCCTTCAGTGCCATGTGCCCACGGAGACCTGGGAGCTTGAAGTTCTTAGGGAATCAAAACGAAAAACAAAGGATTTTTTGGAGCGGCCAGTGGAACACCCCTGCCCAGGCCACTGCTTGAGCTGGGCACTGCCGCCTTCACGCCCCAGCAGGACGGGTGACAGGTGTGGCCAGTGCCCTGCTTCTTCAGCAGCGTGGAGCCATGAATTGGCCCCGTGGAGACCCTGGCAGCCTCGGGGGGGTGGGGTGCTCACCCAGGCCCACAGTCCCAGAACGGGCTCACGGTGCGGGCCCAGTGGGCAGGGAGGGGCTCAGCGAGACTGGGTGGGCTTGGGAGGTGCTTCTCCCAGGCAGCAGGCGCGGTGGACCACAATGACAAGGCCACAGCTCGCCGGGGGCTTCCTCTATGCCACGGACAGACGCCCTCTGATACAGGGGCTTCTGCCCCCCTTTGCCAAGTGGGGGCCCTCGGGTGCATGAGACGAAGCAGCTTGCCCAGGGCCAGCGGGAGACAAGGCCAGCAGGTGGACTCCAGGCCCTCGGGTCAGAGGTTATTATAATTAGAATAACAAATTACTTTTGAATCAACTTCTCAGACACTTTTGACCACAGAGCCACCCCGTGCAGGAGAGCGGCCCAGAGCTGCCTTCTCACAGGGCAGCAGGGCACAGCGGCAGAAGGCCCAGCCAGCAAGCTTACCCGAGTCCCGGGAGCAGCTGAAGCCAGTGTCGCCTGTGCTGCTGCTGTGTCCCAGGGGCTGGCCTCCTGCCATGAGTGCCGTGAGGTGTGGGGACAGGCCCAGGTCTGAAAAGCAACATGGGTGTGTGACACGGTGACCAGCGGCTGACCCCCACTCCCCTCTGCCCGGCCTCCCTGGCAAAACTCGCTCTGCGCCCTGGAGGAGACCTCCGCTGCCCCCCGTCCCCCTGTCCATCCCACTGGGGCAGGCCTCGGGTCTCCACGGGGAGCCCAGGCAGTGAGGCGGGTGGGGGCACCTGAGGTAGCAGTCAGCCTGGAGGCCAGACCCCGGGTCCCCCTCCCGAAATCCTGCTCAAATACAAAGGAGGAGAGGATGCTGGGAGCTGGAAACACGCATAAGGATGGGACTCGGCCAGGGAAGGGGACCGAGGCCGGCAGGGCAGGGCCAGCAGGCGTGGGCACCCGAGGCCAGGCGCTGCTGCAGGCAGGCCAAGCTGGGCCCTCGGCCTCTCGGCCCTCAGCCTCGCTGCCCGACCCCCAGGGCTGGCAGAGGTGGGAGACGTGGGCATGGCGAGGGTGGGCTGACACGGGGGACGCCGGGAGTGAGAAGTCACACTCGGCAGCCCCGGCCTCGTCCCACTGGACCTGCCAGGAGGGCGGACCCAGAACCCCTCCCCGGGAGAAGCTAGAAGCCCTGGAGACGGAGAGCAAGAGCTGCCCATCACCTGCCCAGAAGGACCAGGGCCAGGCCGAAGAGCCTGTGGGGCGGGCCTGCAGGGCACCCCACGGGCACCCCGGGCACCCTGCGGGCATGGCTTCCCAGCCGCCTGCCCAGGCTGCGGTGCTGGACGTGAAGGGTCGGGCAAGTACCAGCAGCAGCTGGGAAAGGCACCAGCAGGAAGATGGGGGGCGGGGGGCCTGGGGAGACTGTGCAAAGAGCTTAAGGAAAAAGCCACCATGCGGACCCCATTGAGCGAAGATAAAGAATCCCTAAGACCCGAGGCCGGAGCTCCCCGAAAAGGACCACAGGCCCCAAAAGCTCTGAGAAATTAAAACAGAAGACAAACGCAAAACTCCTGAGATGCCCCAGGAAGACCTCCCCAGCAGATGTGACGACTGCGTGGCTGGCATGGGTCCCCAAAGCTCGGGTTGGAAACGTCATCCCCAGGGCAGCCGCGTTGGGAGGTGGGGCCTGATGAATGGGTCAGCCTCATTATTCTAGAGGCTGGTGAGTGACCTCGAGAGTGGGCGTGGTGTCAAAGTGAGTCTGGCCTCAACTTGCTCTTGCTGTTCCATCTCCCGCCGCGATATGACATGGCACAGAGACCCTTGCCCAATGACACCATGCTCCTGGGCTTCCCAGACTCCAGAATCATCCTTGTCCATTATAAACTATCTGACCTCAGGTGTTTTGTCACAGCAGCAGAAAATGGTCTAAGACAATGATCTACCTTAAAGACGCTCTTGTATTCTACCATACACTCCCAGTAGAAGACCTCAATCTTTGATTTCTTCCTCGTGCTTCTGAGGGTACAAAGTGACAGAATGTACTATTTCCTTTCTTCCCTGGAGCCAGGGAGGAAATGGTGGTGGCAAAGGAATGGCAGTCCCAGCAAGCTTCCCTCAGAACTTTCTTTTCATCACCTCTGGGAACCCCACAAGAAGATGCACCTTTGCTTTCCCCACTGTTGGGTGTTGGTTACAGGCTGGGGCCAGAGGACACCCAGCACCTCCCTGCACCTGGCCACTCCCCCAGGTCTGGGTGCAGATCATGGCTGTGTTCAACAGGAGGCCTGGTGTGGAGAGCAGCACCGCAGGGCCCCTGCCAGCTGCAGGGGTGGACGCCACATGGGTTTGGACACCATCTCTGAGGCCGTGGCAAATGCCTGGAACATGTCTCAGCATCCACCAGTGGGAGGACCATCTGTGCCAGACCACTGTGGCTGGGCACCAGGTGGCATGGCTGCTTACCCAGCGCTTCCCGCCGGAAAGTCCAGTCACCCTGCAACGTTCCCCAAGGAACGACACATCTCTGGGGCCCAATCCAACCCCTAAAAAAGCAGCACAGTGGGACGGGCCCTGGGCTTGCGGCTCCCAGGAGCACGTGGTGGGTAGAAGCCACTGATCCTTTTAGAACTGAAACCACGACAGGATTCCAGGGTGAAGCAGGCACCTGCAGGAACCAAGAACCCAAAGGTGCCTCCCGGAAGCTACTCAGAATAGCAAAGGGGCAAGTTCAAGGGCTCCCTCGCCTCCCCTCAGCCTTGGCACCTCAAAGGGCCTGATGGGAGGCAGCAGCCTCCTTCTCAGGAGGCCAGCGGGAGGCTCTGTCTGCAGCCACAGGAGCCCAGAGCGCAGCCCCAGGTGAGGGCACCTGTGTCCGGCCGTGCTCCCAAGGCCTGGCGCTGCAGGCGGAAGGGCTGCCTGCTCTCCCAAAGGCCCCTCCTCCCTCTGCCTGCCAGCTTTGGACTTGGGGCTAGAGCCTAAGGCCAGTGTTGGCATGGGGCACACCTTTCATCACTTGAAGCCAAGGTCCACTCAGGTTGACCCCCCACCACCATGAGGTGCATTGCCACAACCTCCAGGAGGCCCAGACACCTCAGCTGCTAGGTAGGATCCCAGGGGGAACATGCCGGTGACCCCACAAGCAGAAGGTCTGGTGGCCCCGTGGCAGACGGTACCCCACGGAAAGCTTCCACTCCAGACAAACAGAAATGAGAGACTCTGAACCCACTGATGGTGGCTGAGACCTGCAGCTGAGGGGTCGCTGTCACGTGAGGCCTTCCAGTCAGCGGGGACTCGGGGCACTGCGGAATGGGCTTCCGCCTTTGCACCTGTTGCTGAAAGCTTCCCAGGCGCCCTGCACAGGGACACCCGCAGGACCAAGACAGCCCCAGGGCACTCTTGCTGGCTCTGGAGTGGATCAGACCATCCTTCCCCACAGGAGCTCTGGGGCACTCCGGGGGACAGGAGGGGGCCCAGAGGCAGGTTTGTGGCAGGAACGACCTCTGGGTTTAGGGATCAGCTGCCGGCCACAGCCCTGCCACAGAGAGCTGAGACAGGGGCACCAGCCTCCTGCCTCGTTCCCGACTCCTACCGCTGCCGCTGCCTCCTGCTGCCATCAGGCCCTGCCAGGAGGAACCAAGGGACTCCCCAGGTCCTGTCCCTGGAGGAGGCCAAGGACTCGGAGCCCGTCGTCCACGAGCTCTTCCACCCGAGGCACCCACAGGACAGCCCTTCACCACGTGGGACAGGGCGCAGCCACTGGCTGGCCAACCCCACCACAGCAGCTGCTCTCCACCGGCCCCGGTCAGAGCCGCGGGACCCCGAGGACAGTCATGGCGAGGCGCCTGGGAACTGGGCAGCGAGCAGATGCCCCACTGGCTGCCCCCTCCCTCCCCCTCTCTGTCCTCCTCGTTTCCTGCCTCGTCCTCAAGTTCGCGGGAACAGAAAGCGCCCGTCGTTTCTGCCTGGAAGACGGACTCTGCACAATCTGAACAAATGGGGCGGCCAGCGAAAGGACGCCAGCACAGGTCCTGCCGGCGCACAGGTCGCCCCGCACAGGGAGGGCCCTGGCTGGCAGAATGCGAGGACACGGCAGGAGCCTTTCTCCATGACGGAACTAAACACCCTCGGACTGGCGTCTTGTCTCCAGGACGACACTCGGAAAACGCCAGGAAAGCCATCGGTATGCCCTGTCACCTCTGCCACCGAGTGTCCCTGCTGTTAGGAGTCACTTCTTTCTCCCTTTGAGGGGGAGTGGGGACCCCTCCCTTTCATGAGGGGAAATTCATAGCGGGTTGCGGAGCTGCCCAAAGTCGCCTGGAGGTCAGACCCCAACCCCACTGCGCCCTGGAGCTGCTCCTGCCGTGGGCCGCGTGGCCTCCTCGGAACTCGCAGCTGCCTCCCCTCAGAAGAGCAGAGTGACAGCCGCGGGGCAGGACCCACAGCCGGAGCCACCGCCGCTGGAGGAGAAAGGTGACTAACAGAGACTGCCACAGAAGTCACCAGGGGGCCCAGCGGCTCGGCCAGTGCAGGACCCGGGGGCCATCGCCAGCACACCCCTGCCCATGTCCAGTCTCCCTGCTGTGAGGCGGGCTCCACGGGGCCAGGTGAGCCCGCCTCCCGGCCGCGCCTGTTGACCCGTGCTGCGAAGCTCCTGTGTCCCACGCTCCTGCAAGTCTAAAACTGTTTCAAAAGTGAGAGAAACCTGAGCCCTGGAGAGTAGGCTTCCTCTGGGTCTCACGAGTGTGGTGAGACTGACTGGGGTCAGCTGGCAGAGGGAGGGGCAGGTGGTCCCCATGGTGACATCTCAGTGAAGGGCTGAGTCTGGCACTGCCACCTGCCAGAGAGGACACCCCTGGCCTAGGAGGGAGGTCTGGGTGAGCAGCTGGCTGGGCAGGGAGCCAGGCAGGGGACGCAGCAAGGGGAGGGGGCGGGCAGGCCTGTGCCACACAGACCCCTTCTCTCCAGAGAGGAAGCAACTGCGCTGAGACCAGGGCCCCAGACGGGGCTTTGAAGACAGAGTTCTGCATCCTGGTGTCCTTGGCCTAACTCTTCTGAAACTACGCTGGCCTCCTGGGTGGCACAAAGGTGTCTGGGATCCCAGGGACAGAGTGCTCCTTACCCACAGGAAACCTGTGCTTGGATTTTTTTTTTTTTTTTTTGGTACCAGGGATTGAACTCGGTGGCACTCAGCCACTGAGCCACATCCTCGGCCTATTTTGCATTTTATTTAGAGACAGGGTCTCACTGAGTTGCTTAGCACCTCACTATTGCTGAGGCTGGCTCTGAACTCACGATCCTCCTGCCTCAGCCTCCCAATCCCTGGGATTATAGGCCTGTGCCACCGCGTCCAGCTAGAAGTCTGTGCTTTGAGCAGGAGGTGAGGCCACAGGAGAACCCGCCCACCCACCGAGCGTCTGGGAAGAAAGCCCCCCACTACACCTGCCTGGTGGGTGGGTCCCTTCCTAACTGCCTCCCAAGTCACCTGTGATCCTGTTGGAAATGCTGAAGAGCCTTGAGGTCCTCTGCCGCTGGACGAACGGCTCCCGGTAGTACCGGTCCCCAAAGCACATGCCCAGGAGCTCCTTGCGGACAGTCTTGTTCCAGAGTCCATAGATCAGGGGGTGACAGACAGCACTGGTAAAGGACAGCCAGGTGGCCCAGGTCTCCAGGGCTGGGGAGACATAGTTCTTCCCCCAGAGGGCCTCGGAGGTGATGACGACCATGTAGGGGCCCCAGGTGACCATGAAGGCACCGATGACCACCAGGATGGTGACGAGGGCCTTGCACTGGTTGGCCGAGTAGGCCACTCCCTGGAAGGCGCTCCTCCTGCTGCCCGAGGAGGAAGTGGAGGTGCTGGAGTTCTTCCTCCCGCCCCTGCGGGCGTCCTCCTCCATGATGACCACCGTGCCACAGTGCACCTTGCGCGCCTTGACCCTGGCCACGCGGAAGATGAAGCCGTAGCACACCAGCATGACCAGAAAGGGGAACAGCGCGCACCAGATCTGCCAGAAGGCAGTGTAGCCGGGCTCCCGGTGCCAGGCGGCCACGCACATCCACTTGAACTCGTCAAACTCCACCGACGACCACCCGAACAGCGGGGGCAGGCAGCCGACCAGGGAGTGCAGCCAGACGTAGACCAGCGCCAGCACGGCCCTGTTGCCCGTGATCTTCATGGGGTACACCATGGGGTACAGGACGGCATAATAGCTGGAAGAGGGCAGGGAGGCAAGAGAGGGAGGCAAGAGAGGGCGTCAAGGGGGGCGGCACCTGCTCTCGGGGGGCCCCACGCCCTGGGCCCACCCAGCCCCCCCCACAGGAGTGGCCGGCCGTCGGTGGAACAGCTCTGCAGGCCCTTCGGCATGGGCCGGCGGGCGCTGGGGGAGCAGACCTCGGAGGTGCTGCTTCCAGGTGGCCTTCCGCATCCTGGCGTCCCCGGCCTAACTCTTGTGAAACTACGCTGGCCTCCAGGTGGCACAGGAAGGTGCCTGGGATCCCAGGGACACTGGTGTGCTCCCTCCCCACAGGAAACCTGTGCTTTGAGCCAGAGGCGGGGGTACAGTCCTGGGAGAACCCACCCACCAACAGAGCAGCCCTCTGCAGGGGGTCACAGGGCTGCTCTTGCTGATGGTAATCCACTCAGATCAGTGTCCAGGATCTCAAAGAACCCAAAGGTTGCCGGGCGGGTGGTGCACACCTGTAATCCCAGGGCTGGGGAGGCTGAGACAGGAGGATCAGGAGTTCAAAGCCAGCCTCAGCAACTGTGAGGCACGAAGCCACTCAGTGAGATCCTGTCTCTAAATAAAGTACAAAATAGGGCTGGGGGCGTGGCTTAGTGGTCGAGTGCTCCAGAGTTCAATCCCTAGTACAACCCCCCCCCGCCCTGAAAAAAAAGAACATGAAGAACGTGGACATCGCTCGGTGGGCACTTCCTGAAAGCCTGGACATATAGGTGAGGAGCAGCGGCGGGGAAGGCAGACGGGCGGCAGCGGGGCTGGGAGCGGGACAGGCCAGACCTCACAGCTGTGAGCCGCGGTGTGTGGCTCTCCTTCCACAGGCAAGGCCACTGGAGAGTACAGGGCCCGCCCGACCAAGAGAAGAAACGACGTGAATGCAGGCCACCTGACCCTATGGTCCCCACGGCACATGTGAGCTGTGCCACCGTGTTCCAGAGTCCAGGGACCAGGGACGGGGCGGGGCCCCAGTTGGCTCCACCGTGGAGGTCACAGACCCAAGTCAGACGGGCGAACAGGCCTCCTGAAGGGGGCAACACCAACACCCAGGCCTGGAAAGGTGGGGGACACTGCCCAGGGCCAGCCAGGCAGAAAGCGGGCCGGGCAGGTGTGCAGGCAGGTGGAAGGGCAAGCTGGTGCCGCTCGGTTAGGAAGGGCACAGCAGGCAGGGGCGGGACACGAGATGCAGAGGGTGGGCAGGCGGCGGCGGCCAGACGGCCCCGGACTGGACCTTTAACTGGGAATGGGCACTGGTAAAGGTCAGCCATTGGTCTAACTCAGACCTCGGGGCTGGAGTAGCCCCGTCCAGACTTCCCTCCACGGCACCGCCGCTTACGTGAGCAGGACTTTCCTGTGAGGATGGCGTGGGGGACAGTGTGGCCACACCAATGCTGCCCTAAGCAGCAGGATGCAGAGAGTGACCTCCAGGTCATCGTGAGACACCCTCCAGCAGCACTTTCTGCATCACCCTTGGTCCCAGAGCAGAAGTGCCACCTGCCTCCAGGACAGGCTGCCTCTAGGAGAGGCTGCCTCCAGTGTCCCCACAGCTCAGCGGGGCTGCTCTGATCTGCAGCTGAGTCAGGCCAACATCCGGCCTGGAGAGAGAGCCCTGCCGCGGCTGCCGCTGCACCCACACGTGGGTCTGCCTCTGCAGAGGGTGTGCAGCCGGGGAGGAGATGCCTGGGAGCCGGCTGTGCTCCCACCAGCTCTGCTCCCGCCACTGTGCTCCCACTGCTGTGCTCCCACTGCTGTGCTCCCACTGCTCTGCTCCCACCAGCTCTGCTCCCACTGCTGTGCTCCCACCAGCTCTGCTCCCACTGCTCTGCTCCCACCAGCTCTGCTCCCACTGCTGTGCTCCCACCAGCTCTGCTCCCACTGGCTGTGCTCCCACCAGCTCTGCTCCCACCACTGTGCTCCCACCAGCTCTGCTCCCACTACTGTGCTCCCACTGCTGTGCTCCCACCAGCTGTGCTCCCACTGCTCTGCTCCCACCGCTGTGCTCCCACTGGCTGTGCTCCCACCAGCTCTGCTCCCACCGCTGTGCTCCCACCGGCTCTGCTCCCACTGCTGTGCTCCCACCAGCTCTGCTCCCCACGTTCTAGCTCAGCCCCCAGAGCTGCGGCGCTTCCTTCGTGAGCGGGAAGCAGCACCCCCATGCCCACCTCCAGGCCAGGCCCGCTCCTAGGAGTGGATGGCTCAGAGCCTGAGAGGCAGATGGCAGTGGGCAGGGCCTGCTCTCGCCTGTTCCCCTTGCCCCCGGCCCTCTCCCGTGACCCTTGGGGACAGTGGGCCCTCTGAGCCCTGGGGTGACTCAAGCAGCTGTGCGTCCTCTTTCCCCTGCCGAGTGCCCAGCTGAGCCACTGACCTGCATGACGCCATCCAGGCAACAGGAATGTGAAGGAGTTGGCTAGGGAGGGATGGGGACACTTCCAGGAAGATTCCTTCACTTCTCGGAAGACACGGGCCAAGATTCCTGCTTTTCTCCACCTCTTTACAGAGTGGGGACCTCAGAACCTGGGGGTGTCAGCCCTCAGAACCCCGGGGGTGTCAGCTGGCTGTGGGGGACCAGGCTGCTGCAGGCTAACTGTCCTGGCTCCTTGGACCAACCCTGCTCCGGCAGTCATGACAATAACTGCAGCCAACAGGCGGTCCTCTGCCGGGCTGTCCTGCGGGCCTCCACTCCGCCGTGTCACGACTTCAGGGCAAGCCTGTAGCAAACGGCTCTAGGTCACTGCTTGACGAGGTCCAGCCACTGGCAGCGCCCCAACACGACAGTGCCCCTCCCTCCCGAGTGTGCCTCTGAGGCAGGAAGGCCCTCGGGTCCTTCCCCTGAGGAGCCACAGGCCCTGCGGCCACCTTGCTTTTAGTCCTGATTTGCAGAGGGGGGTATAGGCCTTGGAGTGCAGCAATCCACGGCCCTGTCAAGGTGAGGGCAGTCGCCCACGTTCCTACTGACAGCTGGTCTATGTGCCCTGAATCGTAAGCAGACTGGAAGCTCCGGTTTAAACCGAAGCTCCTGTAAGCTCAAAGAAAAACGGAACAAAAGCAAGTCCCTGTCCCCTGTGAGTCAACACAGGCCCCGAGAGAGGGCTGTCCCTGCGGCTCTCCGTCCTTCTCAGACACCAGCCTGCACAGCCCTTCAGACCCCAGAGAGGCTTTCGGGTTGTCCTGAGTAACGGAGGACCTGTGAGGAGCCCAGCTCCAGAGGTGTGGCCTGCCCCCGCCACGGCCACAGCACTGTCCCGCCAGCCGTCCCCACTCCCAGCTGCAGCAGCACTCGGCTGCCCCCCACGAAGGAGCCCTAACAGTGCAGCGACCTTCATCCTGAGCAGAGCTCCTGTCCTCAGAGCTGCCGTCTTCAGAACGGGTGTCATGGCCCACGGTGGGGCGGAAGGCCACCCAGCAGCCCAGCCACCTAGGCTCCGATCGAGGTGACCACACGTGACCCCCAGCAGCAGTGACTTGCTCACGGGGAGCCCTGCTGGCGGCTTCCACTCGCGGGTTTGGTGACTGTCATTGCATTCTTTCCACCGTCTGCCTCTGCTCTGTGGGCTGTCTGTCCACCCAGCCTGACGGATTTCTTCCCTCTCCCCGGCCTCTCCCGCCCTTCCTTCCCAGTGCCCTCAGATTGAGTGACCACTGAGCAGCCTGGTGGACTCCACTCACTGGGGTTCTCAGCGAGTGGGCTGGGGGCATGGCTGGCAATGTCTCGGAGGTTGTGCGCTGTCACACCTGGAGGTGCTGCAGGAAAGCACCGTCTCCCTCCCTGAAAACGAGGCAATTCCGAGGGACACACCCCTCAGAAGGGTGACCCGTGAAACCTCAGAGTCTCAAAGGCACGGCCATGCACAGCATGGAGCATCACACAGACAGGGAGCACCTCACACCCAGGGAGCACCTCACACCGAGGGAGCACCTCACACCCAGGGACCACCTCACACTGAGGGAGCACCTCACACCCCAAAGAAGCTGCAGACCATGGAAGATGACAAAACAGGCCACAAAACCATGTGTGCAGAGCCTATTTCAAAATCGACTGTGCACCACCCAAAGCCACTGGAGGCAAACACAGCATCAGGGACTGTCCCTGGTGGATCAGGTCACTGGCACGGCTCCTTTTACTCTCTATCTCATCACTGGGAAAACCAGACACGTGGAGAAGCTGGCGGGCTCCTTGTCCGGACGTCCTCTCCATCCTCGCCCTGTGCAGAGGGCCCACAGGAGTCCGCCCAGGGGAGGCCTGTGCTCCTGACGGACTGTCCACCACCACACACCACCGAACACCCGAGGGTCCAGAGAGCCTGGGGACTTGGCACCAGTGAGGACACCCCAGTCTGCTGGCCACTGACCACATGGCACGAACCTTGACCCGCCCTCCTTCTTCACGTGGGGAGTGAAGGGCCAGGTGAATCCTGGCCAGGGGCTGAGACCTGCACGGCCACCTCTGCCAGGACAGCGGGGTCTGCAGCACCTGCAAGGCCCAGAGGAGCCAGCAGGGACAGTCCCCGCTGAACCAAGCACATTCAGCCGCTCCCGGTGCCGCTGTCTGCACTGCCCAGGCTGTCCTGTCCCCTGCTGCCCCTCCGTCCTGCACTGTGAAGGAGTGAGGGGGCCCTTGGGGCCATTGCCAAAGTGAGAGCCAGCGGGCCACGTCGGGAGGAATGGGCCCAGCCTGCTGACCTGTCCTTCCTCGGCTCCGCGTTCACGGGGAAAAGGAGGGTCAGCGGTTTCCAGGCCGGTCTCTGTTTTGTGCTTTTAAGCAACGGAGCTTACAAAAAACTGCAGTCACGCGTCCCTTAAAACAGGGCACCATGCTGAGAACCCGTCACCGGGCAATTTCGTCACTCGTAAACATCGCGGAGAACACTGCACCGAACGGACGCACACTGCTGCCGCCCTGGATGACGGGGACCCGGGTGTCACACGGGGCCCACTGTCCACCCGAACCCAGGCAAAGGAAGCAGGGCTCCGGGCCAGGAGCCAAGAGCAGCGGAGATGGCTGGACCCCGCCCCGAGCGAGGCCTGGGAGTCTGAGTCGGGGACCAGGCCCTGCCTCTCCGTGGCCCTGCACTCCCTGAGGCCAGCTTACCGGTCGATGGCGATGACCCCGAGGGTGAGCATGCTGGCCGAGCTGATGAGCAGGTACAGCAGGGCGGAGAAGTTGCACCACACGACCCCGAAGATCCATTCCCTGCGGACGGAGCTCGTCACCACGAAGGGCAGCACCAGCACCGACAGCAGGAAGTTGGACAGCGTCAGGCTGAAGACGAACTTGTTGCTGAGGGTGAGGAGGTAGGACTTCTTGTACAGGGTGACCACGACGACCAGGTTGCCCAGGCAGACGAACACGGCGATGACCACGATGGCCACGAACTCGGGGACACCGCTGCCCCCTGGCCCGCTCTCCTCCGCGGGGAGGTCGCTCAGCTCCTTCCTGTGGCCGAGGGAGGAGTTGAGGCTCATGGTCAGTGTGCCTCAGCCTGGGGTGGGCACAGCATGCTGGACGGCTGCAGAAACAAGACAGGACCGGGACAGGAGGGGCCTCGTCACACATCATCTGCATGCAGCTTGCAAGAAAGGCAGCAGAGGCTCGGCCAGGAAGTCCCAGGCTGCCCCCCAGCCAGCCTCTCCAGCCAGCCTCCCTAGCCAGCCCCCAGCCAGCCCCTAGCCAGCCCCCCAGCCAGCCTCTCTAGCCAGTCCTCCGGTGTGCTCCCTCCCCCGTGTGTGGCTCACTCACTCTGGCCTGAGGACTTCTTCTCCAGCCCAAAGTTTGGGTCTGCAGAGCCCCAAGGCCCCTGTGCTAAAGGCTCAGCCTCCACTTGGTGCTACTGGGAGGAGTGCAGCCTTCCGGAGGCAGGATTCATGGGAGGGTTAGGGCATTGGGCGTGCCCTGGAGGGGACCATAAGACCCCCGTCTCTTCCTCTTTCATCTCCCGACTGCCCTGAGGTGACCATCTCTGCTCCACCACGGTAGACTGCCTTGCTGCGGGCCACCTCCAGAACTGAGAGCCACGGTGAGCTCACCCTCCGCCCTTTGCCATTTCTTCATACTGCGCATCTAACCCAGGGGCGCTTCACTGAGCCACATCCCCAGCCCTGATTTGTATTTTATTTAGGGACAGAGTCTGAGTTACTTGTCTGAGTAACTCAGACTCTGTCCCTAAATAAAAGTAAAAGTCTGAGTCGCTTTTTGCTGAGGCTGACTTTGAACTCGCCATCTTCCTGTCTCAGCCTCCCAAGCTGCTGGGATTACTAGTATGCACCACTGGGCCCAGTTCCCCATTCCTTTTAATTTTTTATTTTGAGACAGGGTCTTGCTAAGTGACTGAGGCTGGCCTCAAACTTGCAATCATCCTGTTTCAGCCTCCCATCTTACTGGGAGCCTGTCATCATGAACGGCAGCACCAACATGGACAGCAGGAAGCTGGACAGAGCATGCACAACTGTGCTGGCTTTTTTGATTTTTGGCAGTGCTGGGGGTCATTCTCCAGCCCAAAGTTTGGGTCTGCAGAGCCCAAAGGCCCCTGTGCTAAAGGCTCAGCCTCCACTTGGTGCTACTGGGAGGAGTGAGTCATACCCAGGGACTCAATGTGTACTAGGTAAGTACTCTACCCCTGAACTACATGCTCAGTCCCAAACCTTTTTTCCTTAGAAGTTGATTATCTCAGGTATTTCATTATAGTAACAGAAAGATGACTCACCACCGGCCTAACCATTTTCCCAAAGCCAGTTATTCAAAACCTTTAATGTGCTTAAGAATCACCTGATGTACCAATTCAAAAAGCCAGTTTTTAGGTACCACCACTACAGATTCCTGTCCTGGAGATCAGGTACAGCTGGGAATCTGCACTTTGAGCAAGCCAGTGGGAGCAGTGACCCCATTACAAGTGTCCATGGGGGACACTGCAGAGTGCTGCTTTAGACTCTGCTTCTCGGGGGGGATACTGAACTGAAGAGGTGGCACCACCTTGGAGCTACCAGAGGTGCAGAAGCTCAGAGCCACTCTGACCCACAGAATCAAAGTCGGCACTTGGGCCCCGTCCTCAGCTGATTCCTGCACGTATGGGACAAGATCACGGCAGGAGCCGTTCTGGGTTCCCCAAGCAGGGGTCACGTACAGTCCATGGGGGACGCTGCACTGCTCTCAGCAGCCGTGGGAGGGAGGACAAGGACCCGGCACTGAGCACAGGTGGGTCAGCAGAGGCCCATCTGAGGTCTTGCCCACAGACTGCAAGGTGCAGACTCTGCGCTCAGGAAACGGGCTTGGGATCCTGGCTGCCACTCAAGCCTCACACAGCTCCATGTCAGATCCCACAGACTCAAGTTCCCCCAAAACTTTTCATCTACTTCAGTCAGCCAAAAAGCCCTTTCCCAGCCTGCTCTCGTTCTCCTCGGACAGAGGACACCAGGAAGAAGCAAAGACGGTGTCCTGCAAGCCACATGACAGAAACCGGGGCCCAAACCGCCTCCACTCAGCCGCAGGACAACCCCCTTCCTAGCGGGCCTGTGGCTCTGCCCAGGACCCATGGCCACAGGAGCCCACAGGGGAAGAGGCAGGCCTGCCCCTGGCAGGGGTCACAACACCTGCTGGACAGCTGCCCTTCAGAGGCCCACCTGCCCACACTGCTCCAGGCTGCACCAGGCAGTGGCCTCCCCACTCAGAAGGACCGACCAGTCCCGGGAGATGTCTGCCTCCCACCCTCTACTCATCCACTGGTGCCTGCTCACGGAGACGGTGGCCCCTGATGTGTGTCCCCAGGCCGGCACAGAGGGTCAGTCCTTCATCTCTGATGTAAGTTGCAAATGCTTCTCTGGTCTGGTCAGGGTAGGTCCAGAGGGGCCGCTTTCTCCATGATCGGGACAATCTCCTTCCGAGTCGCTCTAGGAAAGCATTTCTTGTACTTTATGTAAGTGTGAGGTCTACAAAGACCCAAGTTAATAAATCCACGAATTTCTGGGAAGGCAGATGTCCCCCATCTTGAACATATGGAATTAATGTTTTTAAGCCTAAATACAAAACATTATTTCTACTAAATTTTATTTTGTACACTCAGCTCCTGATTCCAGGCTGTTAAAACCCTCTGCATGTTGATTTCGGTTACCCAACTTCTTTGTTACTCCGGCTTTGCACCACGAATAGACTCCATAAGTGCACTGCCCACCCGTGTCTTTGGAAGTTGTTCTTTGGCAAGCTCTGGATTTTGTGGGCTCTTATAACTAAATTATTAATTGGTGCTCAAAATAAAGCTTCCACATAAGCCTGTTACTCCAGACTTGCCTTGCACAAGGGGAACAGCGCGATCAGAGAAAGAGACAATGGAAAAACTGTCAGAAAACATTTGCAACTCACATCACAGATAAAGGACCAATCACTCTAATTTGTAAAAAATCCCTTCAAAATCCAAGAGTACAGGACTGGGGTTGGGGCTCAGTGGTGGACGGGTCAAGAGCGCAGTTGGCACGGGCTCTGCAGCCAGCCTGACCTGGGCCAGGTCCGGGCTTCTCACCACCAGCCCCGCCCCCCGCCCCCGCCCGGGCTGGCTGCAGCTGTGTCCCCCTCCACGTGGACTGTCCCCTACTTGTGGATGAATTAACAAGCGTTTAGCAAGTCTGACACGTTTCAGTGAGGCAGTCTCTCCCGGGCCTCCCCAGGGGAGGGAGGGGCTCAGGCCAGGTTTCCACAGCAGGCTCTGGGAAGCCCCTGCCCTGACCCGGGATCCCAGCCCATCCCAGAGGTGAAAGGCCACTCCAGTCCCCCTGGCACAGCTGCCCGAGTGGCTGGGACGACCCTAAGGCCAAGAGGCTGCTCGGCAGGCCCTGCTCACAGGAGGGCCTGGGGCACCTGCTTCCTGCGTCCAGTGTGTCCACAACCAACCCACTCTTCACTTCCCCCCCCCCCCCCCCGGCCTCGCCGATGGCTCCTGCCCTCCAGGAGCTCAGACCCGAAAGCCCAGGTCCTGATGCCTCGCGTTCTCCCACACCCACTCTGGGCCAGCAACCTGCCCAGAACCTGACCACGTCTGACCACATCTCAGCCGCCACGCGCCAGTCCAGGCTCCGGGTTATGAGGACAGCTGCCACCAGTCCACCTGCTGGGCCCTCCCCCACTCTGCCCAGGTAGCAGAGTGAGCCTGCATGGGGCAGCCAGCATGGGGACAGGAGCACTGCCCTCCAGAGTTCCTACCTAGACCCGCAGCGCCCACAGGGTCCGGCCCGGTCCCCACGACGGCTCCAAGCACAGAATGAACGCCCCCTCACTCCTGCCCCACGCGCACTGGTTTACTGTTTCTACTGTTTCTCCAGACGTCACGCAGGCCTCACCAGGGCCTTTGCGCTTGCTGACCTGTGCCCAGAATGCCCTCACCCCACATAGCTTGGCGGGTTGTTCTCACACCTAGGTGAGCAAAGCCCTCCCCGGGCACGCTGCGCCACCCTCCCCCGGCCTCCCGCACAGCCCGGCTCTGGCCCCTTCAGTACGTTCTCTGGGTGTGCTCCGGAGTTTATCAGGTTGACCTCTCTCTCTCTCCACACTGCAGAATCCGTGAGGACGAAGGCGGCCTGGTCTGTGGACACTCTGGTCAGATCTAGGACAGCGGCTGCGCCCAGTGGCGTTCACTGCGTGATGGACAGACGTACAAGGGAACCACAGGAGACCCCTGGACAAGGTAGGGTGTCCCGCAGCAGCAGGGCAGGCGCTGGTACTTACGTCGGTGCCCCTTCTCCTCTCCCCACCAACAGAACTGACCGGCGTGGAGGGCCACGGCACCTAGGGAAGGCCTGCAGAGGCTGGTGGCCATCAGGCCCAGCCCACGGGTGTGGAGAGCTGTGGCTTTGGCCCTGTTCCTTCCCGTTCCCCCAGGGGAACTCACACCCACGTGTGACGGTGAGCAGCCGTTTTCTGGCCTGGCAGCTGAAGTGTCCCACAGTGCAGACAGGACCCCCCAGCAGCCCGATGAGCTGTGGAGCCGCTGGGCCGGCCACGCCAGCCACCCCTACCAGGGTGAGTCCTGCAGCAGTTTCCTTTACACGCTCAGACATAACCCGAGTTCACACACCGTGGGCATGAGGAGAGCCACGCAGGCGGAGGTGACTGCTGCGTGGCCGGGAAGCGCTGGTGCTGGGACCTCGCGCCCCGCCCATCGTCCCCATCCACCCTGTCCTGCTCTCCAGCCCCGGCACCGACCCCCAGCCCTGATCTGGTCAGCCTCTCCCAGCACAACCCTAAACAGAATCAGAGACCCTGACGTCACAAGGAGAGGGCCTCGGGAACAACCCCCTTAGAAATGAAGCGAGCCCCAGCGAATGCTCTGCAAGGGCTCGTCCTGGAAGGTGGAGCTTTCTGAATTGGTGGATTTCACCACTTAAAATGCCAACGCTGGGTATCAAAGTTTTAAGCAAAATTCATGCCAATCTGTCATAGATTCATCTATATTTTAAAGCAAAGTCCACAAAATGGTAATTTGCATAATGATTCAAGGTCATTAGGACCCAAGATGCATGGAATCTT